TCCGGATAATATGTCCAAAGTATGAGTATAGTCACTGTTTATGTTGTTGAAAAGCATTTTCATTGAAGAAATCATTGGTTTTGCAAAATTCTATCATGCTTTCTCTAGTGTAATTTCTATCACCAAGGCTATTTTTTCCAACTACATATCTCTCCTTTTTGTTTCCAACTTTCTCATTCCAATTATCAGTAGTTAGAATTTATTTGAATTTTGATCAATTTCAGACTGAAGAAGTTCATAGAATTCATCAGTTTCTTCATCCTTATCTTTGGTGGTTGGTATCTAAATTGAATAATAGTAGTATTAAACTGATCTTCCATGTAGATGTATAGATATTCTATCACAAACAGCATTGTACTTCAAGATAGATCTTGAACTACCCTTTTTTGACAATACATGAGATACCATTCCTCTTCAGTTTGTTGTTCCTGGCATAGTAAACCCTATGATTGTCTGATTCAAAAGGACCAATACCAGTTCATTTCAGCTCTCTAATGCCTCGGATAGATACATAATAATTTATGCATTCCATTTCATTTCTGATAACTTCAAATTTTTCCTAGATTCGTACTTTTGTATATTTCATGTTCCAATTATGAATAGATATTTGCAGCAATTTCTTCTCATTTGGAGTCATGCTCCATCAGCAAATAAAGGTCCCAAAGATTTGCTCCATCCACATCATTACGGTCAACTCTAGTTTGAGGAGGCAGCTCTTCTCCAATTGTACTTTGAGTGCCTTCCAACCTGAGGGGCTCATCTTCTGGCATTATGTCAGACAAAGTTTCACTGCTATTCATTCAGGAGCTAATCCCTCAGAAGTGGACCATCTATTCCTTCTTCCTAGTCTGTTCTTAGTCTAGAAGTTGACTCTTGTCCACCATTGATGACCCTGATGGTATTTGAAACATCAGTGGCATAATTTTCAGCATCACAGTAACACGCAAGCCAGCACAGTTTGAGAGACAGACAGACTCGGGTCCATGAAGATTACAGCCAAGAAACTCAATGGGGCAGTTCTAGACTGTAACACCATGAGTTATAATGGACTCACTAGCAAAAGAATCTGGGTTCAGTTGTCATTCCTTGCACCAATACCTCAGCATCTTAATTACAATCATTGTATAATAAAGCTTACTATCTAACAGATCAAGTCTTTTTACTTTTTTTCAAAATATCTTAGCAATTTTTTACCCTTTCTATCTTCACATAAATTCTAGCATAAGCTTGTTAAGTTCCACAAAAAGAAATTTATTAAGATAGCAATTTAAATTTCATTAAATTTTTAGATCAGTTTTAAGAGAATCGACTTCTTTACTGGGTCTCTAAAAATTTACAGCCTCAGAACCCCTATTCAGGGTTGCTCTGAGTCGAAACTGACTTGACAGCACACAGCAACAACAAATATGTAATAATGATACGTCTCATTTTTTTTCAAATCTTTAATTTCTCTCAATAATGTTTTATAGTGATATACAGGAAAATTTTATACCAATGTAATCTTTTGTTAGATATAGTTTTTGGTGCTATTGAAAACTTGTAAATTTTTAAGTTAATTTTCATACTGCTATGCATAGAAATGGAGTCCTGGTGTGGCGCTGTGGACTAATGTGTCAGACTGCAAAGTTGTTTGAACTGCAAAGTCGGTGATTCAAGCTCACCAGCTGCTCCTTGGAAACCCTATACAAGGTCATCACTATGGGTCAGAATTGACTCGACGGCACTTCACATACATAGAAATGAAACACTGGTGGCGCTGTAGGACAGCACTAGACAGCTAACCACAAAGTCAGCAATTTAAACCTACAGCCTCAGAAGCCCTGTGCAGGGTTGCTATGAGCCAGAACCGACTCCACGGCACACCACCAACCACCACCACCACCACCACCACCACCCTGGTGTGGCGCTGTGGGCTAATGCTCCAGACTGCAAAGCCAGCTGTTCAAGCTCACCAACTCCTTGGAAACCCTATACAGGGTCGCTATGGTTGGAACTGACTCGACAGTACTTCACAACAACAACAACCTGCTCTGAAGGAGGAAGATGAGACTTTCTGCTCTCATTAAAGATTTAGAACATCAGAAATCCTATATAGGGTCATATGAGTTGGAAACAACTAGAAGTTACTTAGCACACATAGAAATAGAATTGATTTCTTTTATCCAGCAAGCTTAATTAACACAATGCTACTCTGTAACATACGGGGTCACTGTGAGTAGGAATTGACTTGACAGCAGTGGGGTAAGTTATGTTAAAATTTTTAAGGTACCACAAAACTGCTTACCAAGTAGCTGCACCATTTTACAACCGCTGGCAATGTATGAAGTTTCAATTTCTCCACATTCTCACCAACACTTTTATTTTTCATTTGTCTAATAATAGCCAACCTAGCTGGGGTGGTGGTGGTGTATAAAGTGACAGCCTGTGGCCACAAAAGTGAATTTAGTTAAATAGTTTGATATTATTACCTTAGATGGAATAGATGGAATATTCGCTCTTCATTTAAGCTTGTGGCTCTCAAAGTTGCCCAATTAAAATCATCAGGAAGAGTCAATGTTAAGGAGTCGCATAGCAAATGTCTTAAGTAGACATAACCTAGAAAGATTGTCTAAGAATTCTAATTTTCCTAACTGCTCTTCCACTTGATTTTTAATTTCTTAAGGGGGAAAAAAAGTGTTATTTTTATAACTGGCATTGCCACTGAGTTGATTCCAACTATGTGCGTCAGAGTAGACCTGTGCTCTATAGGTTTGTTTGTTTTTAAATAATATTTTATTGTGTTTTTGATGAAAGCATACACAGCAAATAAAGTTCCCTCCCATTTGACAAATTCTACACAAACTGTTTACTGACATTAGTTGTGTTTTTCAGTTAGTGAACATTTTCTTTAATCGCTTTCTGATTGTTCCATTTTCAGTACTCTAGTTTCCGTGCCACCCTTAACTTCTCCTCTTGCTCTGGAATGCTTGTTGACCTTTTGGTATCATACTGATGTTTTGTTTTTTTTAATGGAGTCCCATATTCACAGGGTTCTGGTGTGGTGTTGTAGAATAAGCACTGAACTGCTAACCACAAAATTGGTGGTTCAAACTCACCAACTGCTCCTCAGAAACCTTACACAGGGCCGCTATGAGTCAGAACCAACTCCATGGTATTTGACAACAATAACCCTTTATTTGGTATGCCAATATGTTATTTTGCTAAAACGTGACCTCTGGGATAGCATCAGTTCAAGATTTAAGAAGTATCTCAGGGAGTTCTCTAGTCTCAACTGGTCCAGTGAGTCTAGACTTTTTAAGAATTTGAGCTCTGTTCTGTGTTTTTCTCCCATTCTATTAGAGTCCATCTGTCATGGCCCTGATCCAAATAGTTGGCATTGGCAGCTGGGTGCCATCTAGTTTTTTTGGTCTTTTTTTTTTTTTTTAGGGTAATTGAGGCTGTATCTTTTGTAGGCTTGTAGCACTATAGACTAATTTTTTCTCTGAGACTTTCCGTTCCTTCTGTCTCTTTTGCTACTGATGAGTAGAGATCAGTAGTTGCATCATAGATGGCTGCTCACAAGCTTTTAAGAGCACAGATGCTATTCACCTCACTTCATAGGGTTTTCCTGGCTGTAACTACTATGGAGGAGTCTTTGTGTGATGCTGTACAATAAGCACTAGACACCACAAGTTCGGTTTGAACCACAAGGTCAGTGATTTGAACTCACCAGCCCTCCTCAGAAACCCTATATAGAGTCGCTGTGAGTTGGAACTGATTAACATCATTTAACAACAACAAGTCATTATGAAAGCACATTACCAGGGATTTCTCCCATGATACCACTGGGTGGGTTCTAACCACCAATCCTTTGGTTAGTAGCTCAGCACAAACTAAGCCACTCATGGATTTAGCTCTCTTTAGCAACCTGCGATATGCAGATGATTCAACTTTGCTTGCTGAAAGAGAAGAGGACTTAAAATACTGATGATGATCAAAGATCACAGCCTTCGGTATGGATTGCACCTCAATGCAAAGAAAACAAAAATCCTCACAACTGGACCAGTAAGTAACATCAAGATAAATGGAGAAGAGATTGAAGTTGTCAAAGATTTCATTTTGCTTGGATCAACCATCAACACTTAAGGAAGCAGCAGTCAAGAAATCAAACATTGTGTTGCATTAGGCAAATCTGCCACACAATACCTCTTTAAGTGTTCAAGAGCAAAGATGTCAGTTTGAGGAATAAGGTACACCTGACAGAAGTCATAGTATTTTTCAATAGCTTCATATGCATGTGAAAAGTTGGACAATGAATAAAGAAGACTGTAGAAGAATTGATGCATTCGAGTTATGGTGCTGGAGGAGAATATTAAAAGTACCATGGAATGCTACGTATTCTGAACACATTCTTTGAAAACATAATATCATTATCTCAAAGTGTAGTGTGATTGAAGACCAAGTTATTAAAAGTATGTCTGCTTCAGAAACCCCCACATAATCCACTAAAATAATTCTACTTAATGCAGTCTTAGTATTATTTTGGTACATTGTTCCCAGGGTATCCTTTAGTTTTTACACCATTTAACTCAGTATCTATCATTGACATTTTTTTTTTTTTCTACCAGTAACGGAACACTCAGGGAGTACAGTGGCTCCACAGGATAAGCACTGGTTCAAGCCCACCAGTTGCCCACAGATGAGGCTTTCTGTCCTAAAAAGAATTTTTTTTAAGCCTCAGAAACCCTATACAAGGTTGCATGAGTCGGAATTGACTTGATGGCAGTGGATTTGCTTTGGTTTGGTCTTTGTTTTAGGAGCCTGGTGGCGCTGTAGGATAAGCACTGGACTGCTAACTACAAGGTCAGCCTCAGAAACAGGGTCTCTCTGAGATGGAATCAATTTGATGGCAATCTTATTTAGGAGTCTTTGTCTAGGAATCCTAGTGATGCTATAGAATAAGCACTGAACTGCTAACCACAAGGTCGGCAGTTCAATCCCACCAGCAAATAGGAAGGAGAAAGACGAGACTTTCTGCTCCCGTAAAGATTTGTCTCAGAAACCCTATAAAGGGTCTGGCGCTGGACTGCGAACCATAAGATCAGCAGTTCAAACCCATCAGCTGCTCCTTGGAAACCCTGTACAGGGTCACTATGAGTCAGAATTGACTCAGTGGCACTTAACAACAGCAACATGAGTCAATGTGGGCTTGATGGCAAAGCATAGATCTCTACTTAAACGAAATAATAGACTCACTTAATCATCAGCTATTACTTATAATTCTAAAACTTAACTTTTTCATCGTGAATTATCAAATTGGATGTTTCCCAGGCTTATTTTAACAAGTGCTTGCTGAATAATTCAGAGCTCAAGCCTGAGAGGTTTGTTCAGTGATAAGCACCTATAAATTGCCTTTGTGAATCAGCTGAAGACAATGTTATCAGTAGGAAAATGTCAAATAATATTGGAGGTACCCTCGCCTCCCAGTGATATGATTAATTTTAGTGATGTACTAAGTAAGGCCTTTTACCTGGTGCTTTCCAGAGTTCACTCCAATTTGTTCCAGTTACTGGAACAAAGGTCTAAAATCAAATAGGAGAAGAGAAAAGAGCTGATATTCTTAGAATTCAACAATTGTTGTTAAGTGTCATTGAGTCTGTTCTGTCTCATAGTGACCCTGTATAGGGTTTCCAGGAGTGGCTTATGGATTTGAACCGACCTTGCGGTTAGCAGTCCAGTGCTTATCCTACAGCACCACAACAGAACTCCTGCTGTTGTTGTTGTTGTTGTTAAGTGTCATCGAGTCAGTTCCAACTCATAGTGATCCTGTATAGGTTTCCGAGGAGCAGCTAATGAGTTTGAACCACCAACCTTGTGATTCAAACCGACCTTGCAGCCCAGCGCATAAACCCACAGTACTATACCAGGACACCTATTCCACCTTAATTTACCCCTTAGAAGAACTCTGTACAAATCAGCGCCTCATGTTATAAATAGAAAATCAGAAACGTTAAGCAACTTGCCTAAATTTATACTATTACTAAATTGTGGCTCCTAATCACTCTGACTCTCAAATCCAGAAGCACCCTCCCCCACCCAAATCAAAATGTGATGATTAAATATAGATTTGTTGGTATTTGTCCATGTACATTTATTTTAAAACACAAGACAGTTATCTGTTGCTGAGTGATACTTTATTAGCTTAATAACTTGGGCCTGCCCTTAGCATTAATGCTTTAGTACTAGTCACAAGGTTTTCATTCAGTGTGGGGAAGCTTTCTTGTTTTAAAAAATGTAATTAGAGAAAGGGCATCTATTTCCTGGCAGCTGCAGCGATAGCAGGTTTCTCTTCACGGGTGATAGGAATGGTGCGCTCAGGGCAAGGGGCCTGTTTCCTTGGTCCATTCACAGTAAGGACCCCATCAGATGACAGGGATGAAGTAATAGCAAGAGGGTCCACATCAGCCGGAACCCGGTATTTCCTGTGGAACTCCCGAGAGACGAAGCCATGCTCATCCTAATCCGAGAGAAGGGAGAAAGAAACAGAGACAGAGAAAGATAAGAACAGGAAATTAGTACCACCTTTCAAACCCTGAGAGACCCCAAACCCCTAAGATGGGACCAAATGCCATGACAACATGATGATGTTAAGTTAAAGAGTTGTTCCTTCCAGTTTGGGGCTGAGATAAAGTGCCACGGTATCACTGCTACTAGGGAGAGTCTGAGAAGTCTGTAGTACCCCAAAATTTCAGTTTCCAAAATCCTTAGGCATGGATATGCTTAGAGATATTTCCTAGAGGCTTAGACCAAAGTTTGCTGGCCCTCCAGGATTTGAATCTCACCAAACCCTAATTGGCTGTGGAGCCAATTAGGACTCATAGCAGCCTTCTAGGACAGAGCAGAGCGGCTTCGTTCGTAGTGTTTTCAAGACTGTAAATCTTTAGGGAAGTAGACTGCCACATCTTTCTCCCAAGGGGCTGTTGGTGGGTTCAAACTACTGACCTTTCAGATAACCCAATGCCTAACCCACTGCGCCACCAGCTCCTAAGGAAGCCCAGAAATTGTCCTTACTCCAGGAATGTTCCAGAAGACTGTAGACAACTAAGACTGCTGCTTTATCTCTTTTTTTTGTTTTGTTTTTAAAAAAGAATTATTCCACAAGTAAAAGATTCCACAAACTAAAGAGATTCTCTACTAAGTGAAAATCCCTTCCAAAGGGTTTTGGAAATTATTTTTGGTTTTATGGTTCAGTTCACGTGTCTGTTATTTAGAAAGCAAATGTTAGGAGTAACCCTGAACATTCTCTGTATGTGCAATAAAATCCAAATCATTTATGTGTAAAAAAAGAATGATTCCATCCAGGGAGACTATGACCCAAACTTAAAACTAGGAAGCAAAACGGAATCAGCCTGCAAACATCAAAAGCACAATGTTCTGAGGTATTACTAATTGGTGAGAAGCATATTCATTTAGAAATTCTCCAAGAGACTAATGAGAAGCTGTTTCATTCTTCAGAATCCCCCAAAGACTGCTTAGCCCTAATCCTTATACCTGCTAAACTGTAAGAATTTATTCAGGTAGACACTCAATTAACTGATTACCAATGGTCTCTAATGGTGCAAAGGATTAAGCATTGGGCGGCTGACCACAAAGTTGGCAGTTCAAAGCCATCAGCCACTCTGCAGAGGGAAAACAATGAGTCTTTTTACTCTGTAAAGATTTACAGTCTCAGAAACCTAGGGAGCATTTCTACTCTGTTTCACAGGATTACTATGAGCCAGAATTGACTCAACAGCAGTGGGTTTAATGGGCTTCAATGGGTAAACACTGTATTACTAACCACAAGGTCAGTGGTTCAAACCCACCAGCTGCTCCTCAGAAACCCTGTACAGGATTGCTATGAGTCAGAAGCGACTCGACGTACTAAATAATAACAACAAGGATATTGGGAGCTGAGAACAGTTCTGAAAAGTAGACAAATCAAGTAGGTGAGCATTAAGATGAGCTTAAGGAGTAGTTGTTACTAAGTGCCTTGGAGTCGGTTCAATGCTTATCCTACAGCATCATACCAGGACTTCTAAGGAAAAGTGATTCCTGAAAAGAGGTCATCACAAACTCAAATGCCTTCAAGGTGCATGCAGTCAATGTAATTATGTAAAGCAGACAGGTCACAAGCACTATGCCTGAATCAGCAATTCTCACCTTGACTGCAACACTAAAACTACCTAGGGAGATTTTGGAGTCCAGGTTTGGTGCTGCAGGTTAATGCGCTAGACTGTAAAGTCGGTTTGAACCACAATGTCAGCAGTTCAAGCTCACCAGCCGCTCCTCAGAAACCCTATACAGGGTCATTATGAGTCAAATCAGCCATGGTGTGGTAGGATCAGCACTGGACTGTGAACCAAAGGTTTAATAGTCCAAACCCATCAGCTGCTCTTCAGAAACCCTATATAGGGTCACTATGAGTCTGAACCAGCTCAACAACAATTAGCAACAAAAGCTATTTATGTCTGGGTTGCGCCCCTAAACATTCAGATATACTCAAATTTAACTAGGTTAGAGTGTCCCTGAGTATTTGAATTCTTTAAAATTCCCTTGATGATTCAGGTTGGTACCCCTGGCTTTAATGGAGAGTAAATATTATCCCCTCTAAGGCAATCAAGTCAAAACAACCAACAAAAGCCATTTGCTCTGGCAAACAAACAAAGGAAACAAGTTTTCACTAATTTATCCTTCTAGTTACTGATCTGTGACCCTGATCTATACCTTTATGGCTTGGGACAAGGTTGTTGCTAACCTCTCAGAGGCTAATGTCAGTGCCTGACATATAGCAGGCACAGAATGAATGGGAAGAACTAAAATCTAAATACCTGGCGTTCTTCGTGTTTGCCATGCACCTCAATCACATCTCCCAGAACCTTGACCTTGAGTTCTTCTGGGGAGAAGTGTTTCACATCCAGGTTGACAGAGAACCTGTCCTTCTCCAGGTGCATCTAGAAATAGCAGAGTGGAAGACAAGGATGAGGGATAAAAGAAAACATGGCAGGATGTTATTTACATTGGTGGGCTCCTTGTTCTGTAGAGTTGTTTTCTTTCCAGGTAGTTTTCTTCCTTTTTAGCTAAAAAATTTCTTCTTGAATAAGCATGCCTCCCTTGTTTAGGGGAACCACCACAGTGGGATGCAACACATACTACTTGGTTATCAGTATCAAGCTTTATTTACAGAGACAGGGAAGGAAGACAGGCCACCCAGGGGGACTTAACAAATCACAAGGATGGGCCTGTGCATGGCTTCTGCTGCCTCTCAACCCAATGCCTGCTTTTGTCACTTGTCTATGAGACAAAGGTCCCTTCTTCTTGCTCAAGTCTCTGCCAAATTTCCCACCCACTCAATCTAGAATGTTCTGCTGGTCCTGTTTGTCCTTCCAAAGTCCTTGACCACACAGTTACTGTTTACTCATACTTAAACCAGAGTATTAGCTGTGATAGCTTCTGTCAACTTTATCTGTTCACTCTACTCTCCCAGTCTCTTAGGACAAGTGACGAGGTCTCAAGACCAGACCTACATTCCTTCGTCATAAGGCTTAGATCCAGGCCAGTGCCCAGTTACAATGCTGAGAAACGTGGGGAAATCTCAGAAAAGGGAACAGAACAGGAGAAAATAGTGGTTGTCTCCAGCTCCACCTAAAGGAGATGAAAGGTTGAGGTAGAACTCTCTCCTAACTCTGAAACTTGAGATGATAAAATTTGTCAGGAGGTAATAGAAGAGTTTTGGTGTTACATCGTGGGTTAATGTGCCAGACTGCAAAGCCAAAGCCGTTTGAACTGCAAGGTCGTTGGTTTAAGCTCACCAGTCATTCCTTGGAAACCCTATGCAGGGTCGCTATGGGTCAGAACCGACTAGGCAGCACTTAACAACAACGACAATAGAAGAGGAGAGCAAAGGAGTCTGGTGGCAGCTATTCCCCTGCAGACCTTTATGGAGGGAACCAAAGAAGGGGCATCCTGCTGGGAAGTTAGTAGAAGACAGTTTTCAAAGTGCATGGAGAAATGTAATAAATATTATTAGAAACTCCTGGAGAAGGAAGTCTTTGGGGACATTATCTTCCTTCATGCCTGGACACACATGTACCTAAAACACTTAAGAGATTTCAACACAATCAGGTTTAGACGGGTATGGGGGGGGAAAGGGATGGAGGAGTTTCCAGGAACTTCAAGGAAGAACTCTCCTGGCCTTGCAGAGAGAAGAGACTCACCTCTGAGAGCCCAGTATCGATCCAGCTGGGTGCCCGCAGAAAGGACGATGGTCGAAGGTAGAAGGGGCTCAGGGAAGTAGAAGTTGGGAAGAGATCAGACTCCAACAGGTGCTCTCCGAAGAACTGATCAAAGAGGCGGCTCGGGGAGTGAAAAGGAAAGAATGGGCGTCGGATCCAGGGATGGTGAATGGCGATGTCCATGGTGGCTAAGTGAGTGTGGGGATCAGCTGGCTGGTCAGCTCCTTCAGCTGCAGCTACAGCCAGCCTCTTATATACGCAGTCTTGTGAAGCTTCTGGAATGGTGATGTCAGGGATTTTATTATACCAGCTCACCGCCAGTTCACGGAGACTTGTGATCGGATTTTTGGCAGTGTGACACATACCCAATACTCACTGAGCTAAGAAAAGAGAAACACAAACACGTCTGAGCTGGCCAGTGACTTGCTCTGGTCTTGTTTCACTGGCTTTCCCATCCACACCCCATGGCAGCACCCCCTTTCTGTTCTGGGGGCTGGAACAGAGTCAGGAATCCCAAGCAGACTGGTGGTGTGGACCGCCCCCCTCTCCTGCCTTGCATGCCAGGGGAATCCGGCCAGCAACTATCTTGGGCCTGAGCAGGGACTGGAATCTTCCTAGGCTGGGCCCCAGGGACATTAACTCTTTGTGGTTCTTTAGAGCAGTGATCAAGTCAATGCCCAGATGTCTTTGTGGGTTTCCCTAGATTTCCCTGGGTTGGGGAGAAGAGCCTGACACTAACATGAGTAGGAAGACAGCTCCTACCGAATGACCCCGTATAGAAAAAAGTGTCTTTTCGTCTTTCAGTGTACACGATTAGCAGAACACCACATCCAGGAGTGCTTTATGAGGCACAATGCACAGTGCCTACAATTGAGGAGGAGAAAGGGTAGTGTGGACTGTGTGCAAACTGTTCCTAAGGGTATCAGCCAAGCCTCATCTGGCGCCAGCTTCCTTGCCCTGGCACAGCCCTCTCCTGAGCCAGGACCCCCAGCTGTTCTCACAGACATCCTGCGACAGCTGATGTAGAGGGGGAAGGAGCTGGGGGTCCAGTCGGCTCTGATCTCACACTTGTCGCTCCCACTCAGGGCCCCTGCTCCCGCCCTTTCCTCACAGGCTCAGCACTATTTTGGGTTGTGTAGAGCCCGCCCCCCACCTCAGACCAGCCCGGGTTCTTCGGGCTGCATCTCTGACCAGGGCAGCTGACGCGTCTGCAGCCATGTCGGGCCGCTCGGTACCACATGCCCACCCGGCCACCGCCGAGTACGAATTTGCCAACCCGAGCCGCCTGGGCGAGCAGCGCTTCGGAGAAGGTATGGCACAGACGCCACCCCCTAGCCTCCCACCCCCACCTCCCAAGTTCTGGGCTGACCTCCCAACGTTACTGGCTTCCACCCACTCCAGGCTTAACTGAACTCCTGGGGCGAGCCATCTCCCATCCCAGACTGCCTCCTCCCACCCCCAAGCTAGCGGGCTCTTTCCCCTTCTTACTGACCTCGGACAGACAAGTTCCACATTGCTCTTCTTACCCTTCTAGCCACCCTGTCCCCGTTTGATTCCTCCTCCCTCACTCCCTAGCATTTTCTTCCTCAGTTCCCTCTCCCTAGCTGTCTTCTGTTGGTCCCTCCTGCTCTTCCAACCCTCCTCAGCTCCCATCTACTTTCAAACCACAACTATTCCCACCCCATCCTTCCTCATCCAGACTCTTCCCTTCTCTTTCTCTGTCTGCCCTTCAGGTCTCCTTCCAGAAGAGATCCTGACCCCCACCCTCTACCACGGCTACTATGTCCGGCCACGGGCAGCCCGAGCTGGGGAGGGCAGCAGGGCAGGGGCTTCAGAGCTTAGGCTCAGTGAGGGCAAATTCCAGGCATTTCTGGACGTGAGCCACTTTACCCCAGATGAGGTGACGGTGAGGACTGTGGACAACCTTCTGGAGGTGTCTGCCAGGCACCCCCAGCGCCTGGACCGCCACGGCTTCGTGTCCCGAGAGTTTTGCCGCACCTATGTCCTGCCTGCCGATGTTGACCCCTGGCGAGTCCGAGCTGCTCTCTCCCATGATGGCATCCTTAACTTGGAGGCCCCTCGGGGTGGGCGACATTTGGACACAGAAATTAATGAGGTCTATATCTCCCTGCTCCCAGCACCTCCTGATCCAGTTGAAGAAGAGACGACCAGAGTTGACCTCTGATTGCCACACACCCACCATGCAGACAATCCCTTTCTACTTCTTAAGGTGTGGTTTGAGCAGCTACCACCACCCCAGAGGTAGCAGCATTCTTGGAAGAAGGGGAAAGCTCATGGTACTCTTGTGTTGTTTGGTCCCTGGGGACATTTCCTATCTTTTGATTTAATTCTGGGTAGAGTGGAATAAACCCAATGCTAGGGCTTTATTTGTGCTGCTCCCTATTCTGTGACCTAGAGGATGGGATGGGATGAGGGGGAGGCTAGACAGAAAGCTCCTCAGTTAGGTGAACCAACATCATGACACCCTTGAGCAACACACTTGGATGCTGAACTCATACCCGAAAGCTGGCATTAACTTCAGATCAAATTCCTTAATTTTCTCACAATGCAACAAAAGAGGGCATGATCCTGGGAGGGAAAAGGGATACACCATCCAAACAGTGCAGAGGGCACTGTCTGCACTGGTGATTGTTGTTGTTATGTGCCATCGAGTCGGTTCCGACCCATAGCGACCCTGTATAGGGTTTCCGAGGGTGTAAATCTTTACAGGAGTAGAAAGCCTCATCTTTCTCCCGCGGAGCAGCTGGTAGTTTCGAACCGCCAACCTTAAGGTTCGCAGCCCGATTCGTAACCACTAAGCACTGGTGATTAGAGGCACAAAAACAAGGGTCTCCAGACTGTCTGGCCCTTTTTGGGTGTTGTTGTAGTTAGGTGCGATGGAGTCAGTACCAACTCACAGTGACCCTGTGCACAACAGAACGAAACACTGCCTGGTCCATGGTCAACCTCACAATTGTTGCCACGCTTGAGCCCATTGATGCTGCCACTTTGCCAGTCCATCTCACTGGGGGTCTTCCTCTTTCTGGGTAAAGGTTGGGAAAATGGTTTCTGACTGGAAAGAGTTACTTAAAACAAAAGACAGTACTTTGTTTCCCCATGCTAAGGTCTGTTCACTGAAAATGGTCTTTGATTCCAAAAGACTGAATATGCCCAAACAGGGACAAACACAGAAACCCCTATCATTCTTCTCATGATATCCAAACCCCAAAGTCTCCTCACCCTCTGCATTGTGAAGACCCAAGAAGGAAAACATTTGTCTGTACTCATGGAACATCCCAGAGAGGTATTACCACATCATCTCACCCATTCAATCCAAGACTAAATGCAGGGGGTCAAGGGCTATTAATGTGGTGGTGGTGATGCCAGGAAACATTGCCTTGGAAGTACAGAACCAAGTAGAGTCCTAAGACTAGGGGCATGGTGTATTAAGGAAATCAATCTTAGGGGCCAGAGAACATGCATGCATGTGTATGATTTGGGAAATGCCAAGAGGACCTCCCTGTCCCAAAACATATTTTTACATATCTTTAACCACAACTGTAATTGTTATTGTTAAGTGCTGTTGAATCAGTTCCGACTCATAGCGGCCCTGTATAGGGTTTCCAAGGAGTGAATGGTGGGTTTGAACTACCAACCTTGTGGTTCACAGTCCAGTGCTGATCCTACAGTGCCACACCAGGACTCCAAGACTATAATTGTTGTTGTTAAGTGCTGTCAAGTTGGTTCCGACCCAAAGCAACCTTGTATAGGGTTTCCGAGGAGCAACTGGTGAACTTGAAGTGCCAACCTTGCTGTTCAAATGGCTAAAGTGGTGATTAACTTAGGACTGCTTCAAAGTTAATAAAGGAAAGGTAAATACAAAAAAATAAAATAAAGTGATGTTTCTTAACTTTTGGGGGGTTACAGACCCCTTTGAAAACCTGACAAAACTTATAAACCCTCATCCTAGAAAAATGATCACGCTTCCAGATTTTTTTGTATTTCCCTAATGACTAATGGACAATATAATGAATGAGCTTTTTTTTTTGCCTTATAAGTTAGTATGTGTCCAAATATGCAAGTTAATATGGACCACCAGGATAAGAATCCTCACTTAAGAAATACAATTTTTGATTAAAGTTTGTCTTCTATTAAAAATGTAAGCCTGTCTCATAAGAATAACTATTCATTTTTTTCACTCATTCTATCAACAAATATTTATCAAACTCCAGGTAATACATTATGGGAATATACTTTGCAAATATAAAATATGAAAAATGCATACATTATTGTCTACTCTCAGGAATCTTAATATCTAGTTGAGAAGAAAAAGAATTTTTTTAAAAAAGATCCTACTCGTTTTAATTAGAACAGCTTTGATCTATTTTGTAACTGAGGCTTTTACGTGAACTTTATAGAAAGAGGTTTTTAGAAAAAATAGGAAAACCTCTGATTTAGTCAAGTTTGCACCATACTATGAGCTAGCTATTTGCACAATATTATGAACTATCTTTTCACATTATGAGCTAACTAATGCTGGGACATTTTGAGTGATGTTATGAAGTCAGAACTAACATACTCTCTCTTTTTTTTGTGTGTGTGTGCATACTGGTTACAAGTTCTTTCTTCTATTGAACCAAAGTTCTCATTTCAGTAACTGCAGCCCACTGGATCTGGTTATGTCCAGAAAATAAACATGACCCTTCTTTCTCTTGCCAATCCTTCAGGTATTTAAAAAATAGGCGCCTTGGTGGCGCTATAGTATAAGTTAACCACTGGTTACCGATCCTATAAACAAGATGAGGCTGTCGGCTCCTGTAAAGATTTACAGACTCAGAAACCAACTCACAGGGTCACTGTGAGTCGGAATGGACTCGATGGCTGTGGGATTTTGTTTGTCCTGTCCTCCTAAGACTTCCACTTCCCAGCTAACCATCAGTTCTTTTAATCATACCTTTTTATAAAACTCCCATACACAGACGTTTTCTAGAACACATTGCCTTTTCATGTTACTTGAAATGTAGCATCTAGACCTAAAATTATTCTTCCAGTCATGGAATGATATAGACTTCAGTGGAATAAAAAATCCTCTTGCTTAAACATATTAGTCTTCTATTAATACTGCTTTAAGGTGTATAAGGGAGTCCTGGTGTGGCTCTGTGGTTTTTAATGCACTGGATTGCAAGGTCGGTTTGAACTGCATGGTCGGCAATTCAAGCTCACCAGCCGCACTTTGGGAACCCTATACAGGGTTGCTGTGGGTCGGAACCGACTCAATGGCACTTAACACCACCAACAACAACAAAGTTTATAGGGGAGTCGTGGTATGGTTCTGTAGGATAAGCACTCTACTGCTAACTTCAAGGTCAGTAGTTCAAACCCACCAACTGCTCCTAGGAAACTCGATATGAGGTCGATATGAGTCAGAACCCACTATATAGCACAACCACCATCACCACTACAATGAGTTAGAATCAACTTGATGGCACTTAACAACATCAAGGTGTATAGGAAGAAATCCTGGTGGTGCTGTGGCTAAGCATTGGGCTGCAAAATGAGAAGTTGGTGGGTTGAGCCCACCAGCTGCTCCACAGAAGAAAGATGAGGTTTTCGGTTCCCATAAAGATTTATAGTCTCAAACCCTAAGGAAGACTTGTACTCTGTCCTATGTAGAGTTGCTCTGAGTTGGAATTGACTCGATGGCAGTGGTTAAGGTGTCCAAGTTTCCTTGCTACCACAACACTTTATTGGTTCCTTTGGAGTTTTTGGTCATCTAAACTGGCCTTTAAACTACAGAGGATATAACTGGAAAGGGACTAGATTGTTAATGGCTTTGAATGCCAGGCTAAGAAGTATGACCTTTACTATGCTGTTGTTGTTGTGAAGTGCTGTTGAATTGGTTCTGACCCATAGCGACCCTGTGTAGGGTTTCCAAGGAGTGGCTGGTGAGTTTGAACTGCGGACCTTGTGGTTCAAACCAACCTTGCAGTCCAGCGCATTAACCTGCAGCGCCACACCAGGACTCCCAGAACATCATTAATGGATTTGGGGGAAGGGAGTTTCGGGGGAGTCGGGGGTGGGTATAATGGGACAAAAAGAATACAGTTAATGGCAGAGTAAAGACTGGATTGCAGGGGAGAAACATGGCCATAAGATCATAGGCCAGTGCCGTGATCTGGGTACAAGATTTGAAAAATAAAATACTTTGTTACCAAACAGCTGAAAACAAGAAATAATAATAATCACCATGTTGTTGTTAGTTACCATTGAGCTAGCAGCCTTGAGCCATGAACTATGTGATTCACTGAGTTTTCACTATATCATTTTCTGAAGTAGATTTCCAGGTCTTTCTTATCAGTGTGTCTCCATCTGGAATCTCCCCTGAAACGTGTTCAGCATCACAGCAACATGCCAGCCTTCACTGAGAGACTGGGGTGGAGGCTGTGTATAAGGTACATTGGCCAAGAATCAAACCCAGGTCTCCCACATGGACAGGTGGATTTGCTAGCTTGAACTTCCTCCCAATAATTACAATAGCCAGGACTTACTGAGAGCTTCCCGTGTGCCAAGCAGTGGACTAGAGCTTTATATACATTATTTTATTTCATCTTCACAACACCCCTCTAATTATCCCTGATTCTCATAAGGAAAGATCAGCCGGTGTTCAGATTTAGGGTTCTCTCTGTGGAGCACAGCCTGGTTGGTGGTTCTCAAATATCCATAAGCCTGTTGCTGTTGAGTCCATTCTGATTCATAGCCACCTTATAGAACAGAGTAGATCTGCCCATAGGGTTCCTAAGACTGTAAATCCTTACTTTCATTTAGCAATCAATATTGAATATCCACCTTAATATCTATGAAAACAAAACAAAACCCACTGCCACAAAGTTGATTCCAACTCAGAGTAGACTTGCTCTTTAGGATTTCTGAGATTCTAACTCTTTATGGGAGTAGACAGCCTCATCTGTGTCCCATGATGGGTTTAAATGCTGATCTTGCAGTCCAGTGTTCGACACACTGTGCCCCCAGGGCTCCATGACAATCTATGAGGAGGAGCACACAAATACCAGGCATTTGGGGAACTAGTAAGGATGGGGGTGAGAGCATTGAAGATAAGCCTTACACGTTTCATAAATGCCCCTAGAGCCTGTATCTTCTGCAGAAGAATTTGCTCCACTGCATCCTAGCTGCTGGTTGAGTGTGGAATGAGTCTAACTTTGGGTCATTGGAAAAAACTAGATTGAGGAGTAATTGGAGCTTCTGTAGTTCTATACCAGGGAAGGGGCAATGAGAGGTTAAAAAGTGCTGAGGGAAGTATGATTACAGAAGCATACGCTCTTTCAGACCAAAAAGGGAGTTCATTAATGAGTTCAGTTCTCCCTTTTACAGTGGTAGAAACCTATGTCATGAAAGGCTAAATGATTTGTCCATTAATGCTCATGTTGTTGTTAAGTGCCATGGACTCACTTTTGACTCATAGTGACCCTGTATAGGATTTCTGAGGAGTAGCTGGAGGGTTTGAACCGCGGACCGTGTGTTAACAGTCCAATGCTTATCCTACAGCCCCACACCAGGAGTCCCCAAGTCAGGGAGAATATAAATGGAATTCATTTCTCTAAATTCAAGGTTCCAAGAGACTCCAGTAAGAAGTCCTGGTAGTATGGTGGGTTAAGCATCTGGCTGCTAACTACAAGGCAGGTAGTGTAAACCCCCCAGCCACTCTATGGGAGAAAGATGAGGCTATTTGCTCATATAAAGATTTATGGTCTCAGAAACCCTAAGGTTTCTGTCCTGTAGGGTTAATATGAGTGGAGATCAACCTGAAGGCAGTGGGTGAGCTTAAAGACTACAGTATTCAAACACAGATTCTGGGTAGAGATAGTAAGAAACCGGCACCAGTTACTGGGAAAATGAACTCCATTTAAATCTGAGTGGTGCTGGGGAAGATAAGGTAAGACTGTACTCCATTAGAGAGGATTTATTTCAATGACAATGAATGTGATGTAGTCGAGGAGCATTTCCGAAGGAAACCCAGAGTTCTTTTCTATCTCAGGTTTCTTTTTATTCAAGCTTTAAACTCACAAAGTTCATGGTTTCATCAAAGAAATTCCAAATCCCAAAGGTGAGATAGCGCTCACCTGGAGCCAGCCTTGTGCTGCTGTTCTACCTTAGGCTGGAAACAGAGTCACCTGGGAATCCTTCCAGCAGGTGGCTTCCAAAGTCCAACCTGCTTGGTTGAAATCTGACACTGACGAAAGACTCCCTGGGAGCTGCCACTGTAAATTAAACCGGGAACCAGGAAACGCACGAGTCTCTTTATGTAGACAAACAGCTGGGTTCTCTCAGAGACAGAACACCATGGGAAACCGGCTCTGCTGCGGGGGAAGCTGGTGAGTAGGGAAAAAGGGCGGAGGAGGGTAAGTCTCTGTTGTTGGACACAGAGATCCTAAGCTGAACAGAGTACCTTTCCCTTCACTGAAATGTATGAATCAGAGTGCCTAGAGATAATTCTTTGCCAATCTCTCACTGCCAACTCCCTCTCCTGGCACCTTTCGATTCCAGCACCAGAGCAACACCTCCTTCTATGCTTTCTCCTTTCAGAAGACCTCAGAAAATCCAGCCAAGTCAGCTGTCCTTTGAATGGCCAGAGCACGCTGGCTGGCATGGTGAATAAGACATTGTTTCTCTGTCCTCTTCTTCCTCCTCCTTTCCTTCATCCCCAGAGATAATAGTCACAGTGTTTGAGAGTTCACTCTGTGCCAGGCACTTTACACACAATCTCATTTAATTTCACCTCTGTGAGGTACATGGGGAGCCCTGGTGGCGCTCTAGGATAAGCACTGCACTGCTAACCACAAGGTCGGCTGTTCAAATCCACCAGCTGCTTGTCAGGAGAAAGATGCGGCTTTCTGATCCTACAAAAATGTACGGTCTCTGAAACCTTATATAGGGTCTCTATGAGTCAGAATCGAGTGAATAGCAGTAAGTTTGTTTTTTTGGATAACGTAAGTCTAGAGCCCTGATGGTGATGTTGATTAGAGATTGGGCTGCTAACCACAGATCGGCAGTTCAAACCCACCAGCTGCTCCTCAGGAGACGGAAAAGGCTTTTTGCTTCCGTAAAAATTTACAGTCGCCGTGAGTCGGAATCGACTCTAAGGAGGTAGGTTTTTTGGCTGAGGTCAGTCTGGCGCCCTGGAGTTGGTGTGAATTAGGCATTGGGCTGCTAACCACAGGTCGGCGGTTCAAACCCACCAGCCGCTTCTCAGGAGAAAGATAAGGCTTTTTACTTTTGTAAAATTTACAGTCGCTCTGAGTCAGAATCGACTCTGTGGCAGTGGGTTTTTTGGATAAGTAAGTCTGGCGCCCTGGTGTTGGTGTGGATTAGGTATTGGGCGGCTAACCACAGGCCTACCGTTAAAACCCACTGGCTGCTCATCAGGAGAACAATGAGACTTTCTGCTAACATAAAGAGTTACCATCTTGGAAGCCCTACATAGGGTTACTATGAGTCAGAACCAACCCAATGGCAGTGGGTATGAGGTAAGTGGTTTCTCTTTACCACCATTTTACAGCTGAGGAAGCTGAGACTCGGCGCAGTTAAGGGACTTGATTAAGGACACATGACTAGGAAGTAATGTACCAAGATCCCAGCCCAAAGCCCACGTGGTTAGCCCTGGTAGTGTAGTGGGTTACGTGTTGGACTACTAGCAGCAAGGTCAGCAGTTTAAATTTACCAGTCTCATCGTAAGAGAAAGATGAGGTTTTCTGCTCCCGTAAAGAGTAACCATCTTGGAAACCCTATACAGGGTTGCTATGAGTCAGTACCAACTCGATGGCACATCACCACCACCACTTTTAACCATAGATAATATTCCAGAGCAAACAAATCATTTAGAGAAATGTTTATTTTAAAAGTCAGAAATGGGAAAAAGTAGGAGATCATTCAAAGACCATCTAAATGCATCTTTCACACATAATTGCTAAGTGACGTTAGGCAAGTTTCTTAACTTTTCTGTTCCTCATCTGTAAAATATAGCTAATATGAGCTACCATCTTCACATCACAAATTTGTTTTTAAAGAACACAGAATAGAGTGTATATGAAAACTCAGTTGACCCATGTGTAAAATGGAACAGCAACACATGTTTCCCAGAATGTTATCAGGATTGAAAACAAAGTTCTTAAAGCATTCTTTAAACTATAAAATGTCCCCCATATAGAGAACATCTGTTGTTAACATGCTGTCGAGTCAGTTCCACCTCATAGGGACCCTGTATAAGGTTTCCGAGGCTGTAAATCTTTGCGGGAGTAGGAAGCTTCATCTTTCTCCCAAGCAGTGGTTATGGGGTCAGAATGCCGACTTTGTGGTTTGCAGTACAGAGCCACATCTAGAGACCTATAAAGGCTTCAGAAGAATGAGATGTAACAGTTTTTCTCACCCCCTCCTGCTTCTTTCCAAGTCTTCACAGTCTTCATTATCGGTCGGTTCTTTCTCTGAGTTGTACTAGTTGGTGCATGTACTAGCCAGTTTTTACTGATGCTTATTATATGCCATGTGCTTACGTTTAATACTTTATGTCATCTTTACAATAATCCCAAGAGGCTAGAAACTTGCTGGAAGTCACACAGCTAGCAAGTATAAGCACTCTGACTCAATGCCGACATTAGTCTCCACGACCCTGAAACCAGAAGAACTAGAAAGGGGCCCAGCTACCACTACCAACTGCTTAGAAAGGAATCCCATTAGAAGGCCCCAGAGAGAGTGGAAGAAAAAAATGTGGAACAAAACTAGTGGGATAGAGACTAGTGGAACCCCCTAAGACTATACAGCCCTTAGACAACTTTTAAGTCTAGAAGCGAACTCACTCCTGTGGCTCAGTTTGTTCATCAGGCAAAGGACAGGTCTATGGGGGTAGGGGGGCAGCGATATTAGTGAGGTGTGCATACCTTGCAATAATTGCCTATTTGAGGTCAGGGGGCTGGAATTTACCCAAGGACAAAGTTCAGAAGGGTTAGAAAAGATGGAGGAATGGAAATGGGGAATCGAAATGAACTAGAATGAGTAATGATACATTTGGAGAATTGTAGTCAATGAGTTGAGATAGAATGTGTATGAATTGTTGAATACAAGGCTGATTATCTGCTCTATTGGCAATAAAATGTTAAAAACAGGAAAAAAAAATTCTGACTCTAGAACCCATACTAGAACCAGTACACTAGTTTTCTAACCAAAATCTTTTTTCCTCATAAAATAATAGGATTGTAAAAAAAAAATTTGATCTATTTTTTCATTATCTCAATAAACTTCCAGAGCCATAAGGCTCTATGACAGTTCTAAAGTTCTTCATTATAAAATGTTTTATTTTTGATCATATAATAATATATACCTACTGTAGAAAACTTGGACAGTACCAGAAAGTAGAACATAAGCAAACTTTTAATATAAATACTCAAGAGGAACATTTTATTGTATTTCCATATCATCCTTTTTGAATGTTTACATGTACAGTTTTTATTCCAAAACATACCTGACATTTCTTAATAAAAAATGAATTTTTCTAAGTTGATGAACAGTCTTCCAGCATTTTTTTATAAATGGCTGCATAGTATTCCACTGATTGGATATGCTGTTTATGTAGTCAATTCCTAAACTTTGGGATCGTTCCATTTCTTTTGTGTATAAAAAACAATACTACTATAAGCATCCAGATTTTCACATGTCTCATCATTTCTTTAGGATATGGAATTGCTACATCATGGGTCTACACATTTATTTTTTAAGATTTTTATGCTAATTGCTAAATGCATCCTAAAAAGATTGCAACAATATTTATTCCTATTACCAGTATAGGCAAGTACCCATTCAGCTTCCTTACTTCTGAACTAAAGATAAAATCCTATTGTCTATGAATATAACTTCTAGGTTGTGTTCAAGCCCTGTGCAATATTCAACTTAGAAATTGACTCTGTTCACTGAAATTGGGTAGCCTAAGGCCATGTATTTCAGAATTAATAATCTTTTCTCTTTTTTAAAATAGTATTTTGTTGTATTTGTAGTGAAGATTTACACAGTCACTTAGGTTCCCATCTAACAATTTCTACACAGATTGTTGGATGACATTGATTCAGTTCTTCACAGTGTGTGAGAATCAATATTCTCTTTATCCACTTAATGTAGAAATAAGTAGGAAGAAAGTAGCAACAGGGGCAAGGAATGAAAGATAGGAAAACGCTCTGACTGGGCAGCTGTAGGAGAATGTAAGAGCTGAAATAGAAGGAAAGGCAGTAGAAAGACACAGAAATGGTAGTAGTTTCACTGTTTTTCTTGAACCACATGTATAGTCCGGATGGAGGCTCTGCCCTCAGCTCAGCAAGCACAATTGAAACCAGAAATCATGCTGAGTGAAATATGTTGGTCTCAAAATGACAAATAGGTGTATTATGTGATCTCACTTATATCTAGAAAAGGCAAGTATATAGAGACAAATGTTTACTAATGGTTACCAGTGGTAGGGGAGGTAGGAGAGTACTTAGGTGACACTGAGCTTCTGTTAAGGGTGATGGTATTATTTGGGAATGGATAAGGGTGATGATTGAATGGCATGAGGAACATAATTAATGTCACTCAACTATTTATGTCAAATGTTTTGTTACTAAAAAAAAAAAAACAACCCACAAACCTCTGTCAAATGTGTGTGGAAAAACCCTGATTTTCTCCACAGTAGTAAAATCAACATGATTTAGAAGGCCCACTCCCTTTTTCTTTTTAATTAGTAAAATAAGGTAACTTCCCTGGGGAGACTAGAAGTTAGACAAGTAGGGTTGGCTCTGGTAAGAATTGGGAAATGTACTGGGAAGAAAAAAGCATCAGGAGTAAGCCCTAAACTATTCAGCAACTTTCCTCAGAGCAATGTCGTTTCTCTGGGCATGAAACACTTGACAATCACGTAGACACATGGGCTCCATTGGGGACCCTAGGGGCCCAGCAGAGAGTCTAAGAGATCTGTTCTGCAATGTAGGCGTGGACAGCTGAGTCACTTACCAAATTCAGCTCCCTGTGCTGTGGACAGAGTTCTCAAAAGGACATTAAAGGTTGAACATCTCTCCCTTTCTCTGTTAATTAAAATCAAGGACAGGGAAGCAGAGAGGGAGGTCAGCTGTTAAAAAGGACTTTGAGGGAACCGTAAGTAGTTAGTCCTGATTGTGGCAACTTCTAATGACCCCCAGCAGGAAAATCCTGGGTTGTCAGAGACTCTGCCACCCCCAAGAAATAAAAGTACTGAAAAAGCAGCAGTATGGTTTCTGAATCCAGCAATACCTCATTATTTGGCAGCTTCCTCTCACCCTCTGCTGCTGGGATTGGCCTGTTAGACAATTCCAGAATAATCTTCAGTCAGCTACATCTCTGGCATGTAGTGTCTGATTGCCTGAAGCTGTATTTTGGGTTTGGTTAGATCATTTATGCTATTCCACTTTCTAGGACCATGCATTTGGGAGAAATGTGGTACTCTTCTTAAACAACAACAACAACAACTATTGTGGTTTGAATGAAAGTTTACAGAGCCAATTAGTTTCCCATTCAACAATTTATACACATTTTGCTTCATGACATTACTTGCAATCCAGTTAATGTGACAGAACTCTTCCCACTTCCTCCTTTCAGTCTCTGTTTCTCTTCACTCTTCTTTCCTGCCCTTTCTGAACTTATTTTTGGACAGATGTTGTCCTTTGGTTTCCTATGATTGAAATGTTTCAACAAACTGATACAGCATGAACACACACACACAAACAAAATCAACTAATGCAACACTGGAAGCACTCACTCACTAGCCTATGCCAAGAAATTTGGAAGACAGCTAACTGGCCAGCTGACTGAAAGAGATTCAAATTTGTGCCCATTCCAAAGAAAGGTGACCCAACAGAATGTGGAAATTATTGAGCTATGTCATTAATATCACATATCAGTAAAATTTTGCTGAAGATAATTTTAAGATGGTTGTAGCAGCACATCAGCAGGAAGCTGACATAAAGTCAGAAATTCTGGATTCAGAAGAGGACGTGGAATGAGAGGTATCATTGCTGATATCAGATGGATCTTGAGTGAAAGCAGAAAATACCAGAAAGATGTTGACTTGTGTTTTATTGAGTATGAAAAAGCATTCAACTGTGTGGATCAGAACAAACTATGGATGGCATTGTGAAGAATGGAAATTCCAGAACAATTAATTATTTTTATGTGAAACTTTTACATAAAACAAGAGCCATTCATTCAAACAGAATAGGTAGGGAGATGCTGAATGATTTAAAATCAGGAAAAGTATGCATCAGGCTTGTATACATTCACCATACTTATTCAATCTGTATGCTGAACTAACAATATGAGAAGCTGGATTATATGAAGAAGAACATGGCATCAAGATTGGAGGAAAGCACATAAATACACAGATGACACAACTTTGCTTGGTGCAAGCTAAGAGGACTTGAAGCACTTGCTGATGAAGATCAAAGAATAGTCTTCAGTATGGATTGTACCCCCAATGTAAAGAAAACAAAAGTCTTAACAACTGGATCAATAAACATGATAAAACAGAGAATATTGTAAGTTGTTAAGGATTTCATTTTACTCAAATTCATAATCAATGCTAAGCAGCAGCTAAGAAATCAAAATGTGCATTGCATTGGGCAAATCTGCTTTAGAAGAGCTCTCTAAAATGTTAAAGAGGAAAGATGTCACTTCGAGGACTAAGGTGCAACTGATCGAAGCCCTGGTGTTTTCAATGGTCTCATATGATATGAAAGCTGGACAATGAATAAGGAAGACTGAAGAAAAAGTGATACATTTGAATGATGGTTTTGTTGTTGTTGTTAAGTGCCATCGAGTCGGTTCCGACCCATAGCGACCCTGTACAGGGGTTTCCGAGGGTGTAAATCTTTACGGGAGTAGAAAGCCTCATCTTTCTCCCGCAGAGCAGCTGGTAGTTTCGAACCGCTGACCTTAAGGTTCGCAGCCCGATTCGTAACCACTACGCTACCAGAGCTCCTGAATGATGGTTTTAGTGAAGAATATTTAAAGTATCATAGACTGCCAAAACATAAAAACAAATCTGTTTTGGAAGAAGTATAGCTGGAAGGTGAGACTTCATCTCTAGTACTTTGGACATCTTATCAGTCACTGCAAAAGGACATCATGCTTGGTAAAATAGAGTGTTAGTGAAAAAGAGAAAGATTCCCAACAAGATGGATTGACATAGTGGCTGAAACAACGGGTTCAAACATAGTGACAATTGTGAGGATGGTGCAGGATCAGAAAGGTTTTCATTTTGTGGGAGCCTACTTGTGGTAGCATAGTGGTTACGAATCGGGCTGCGAACCTTAAGGTCAGCGGTTTGAAACTACCAGCTGCTCCGCGGGAGAAAGATGAGGCTTTCTACTCCCGTAAGGATTTACACCCTCGGAAACCCTGTACAGGGTCGCTATGGGTCGGAACCGACTCGACGGCACTTAACAAACAAACAAAACAAAACTTGACTGAGGGCACCTAACAACCACAACCAACAACTACAACTGGGTGGAATCTTTTAGGGAGCACATTCTTCAAAGATATTAATTGTTCACTTTATAGACCAGTCTATTGTTTGGCTGAAAGGTAATATCTGGGAGCAGATTCAGTTCTAAATTTGAGAGCTGTCTAAGGGCTATAGTCTAGGGGGATGGGGGAGGAAGGGGGTGGGGAGGGCAGTGTCCGTGTGGTACCTACTTGACAAATGCTTTGGGGCTGAACCTGGCTCAGGTTGAGTCTTTGTTAGAGGGAGGCTGGGGAGAGTTGTCCCAGAATTATTAGGAGATTACAATGCAAATAATGAAGGAGGGATGGTTTTGCACATGGGTGATCTGTTTTTCCTATCACAGGGGCTGCCCATCAACTCTCCAGAGGAAAAAGAAAACAGGTAACTGGCTGGGGTGTGGGGGCAGGGCTGGGGAGACCTGAGAAAATCAGGGAGTTGAAAAGACAACTGAATCATTGTCTTTGGGAAGGTTTTAAGGGTAAAAAGAAGAAATGCTTTGGAAGCGATAAAGGGAAATAGAACATAAAAGAAAATCTTCAGTGTGGAGCATCTCAGAACCTCTGAAGTATTCTTTACATTATCACAGAGTGACAGTGTTGGTTGTTCATCCCTTCATTTATTCAATAAATATTTATGAAGCACTTATATTGTATATAAGGAGCCCTGGTGGAGTAAGCATTGCACTACTAACTGCAAGGTTGGTGGTTCAAAGCCACTAGCTACTGTGTGGAAGAAAAATGAGTCTCTCTGCTCCTGTAAAGATTTACAGTCACAGGAAGAAGGCTACTCTGTCTTGGCCCTAGGAAATTTGAAAAGCAAGTTGAAGACAGAGAGAGAGAGAGAGATGAACAAAAAATGGTGATTCCACCTATTGTTGTTAGGTACCATCAAGTTGATCCCCAACTCATGATGATCTCATGTACAATGTGATTGAACCATTGTGATCCGTAAGGTTTTCATTGGCTGACTTTCAGAAATAGATTCTCAGGCCTTTCTTCATAATACCGTCTGCTAGTGCTCTCATAGAAGCATATGAATGCTGTGGAACAAGGGGAAAAGACACCAATGTTGAAAGAATAATAGCCAGTTCACAAGGCAACAGAAGAGGGAGGGAAGGGTGTTTTAGGCAGCGAAGTTAGTAGAGAGAGGAGAGGAGAATAGGAGGGAAGTTGAGGCAGACTTGATTGAAAGTGGCAGGTATTTGATGTAGCTGAGCATGTACCACATGCTTCTGTTTACTTATTAGTAAGGAGCTCTGGTAGCGTAGTGGTTACGAATAGGGCTGCGAACCTCAGGGTCAGCAGTTCGAAACTACCAGCTGTTCAGCGGGAGAAAGATGAGGCGTTCTAGGTCGGAATTGACTCCACGGCACACAACAACAACAACAACAGTAGGCTGTAACAGGGTTCTGGTGGCACAGTGGTTAACTGTTCAGCAGCTAACCAAAAGGTCAGAGGTTCTAACCCCCCAGCTGAAAAAGATGTGATAGTCTGTTTCTGTAAAGATATACAGACTTGCAAGCCAACGAGGGTAGTTCAACTCTGTCTTATCATGCCATTAGGAGTTAGAATCAACTCAACAGTTGTTTTGTTTGTATGTTTCTTAGTAGGCCATAAGCTTCTTGAGGCAAAGGAATATCCTATTATCTTTCTTTCTCCAGAGACTATCATGTAATGGACTCTCAGCATATATTCATTTGTTGAACTATGTTAGGAATTGTGAAAAATGAAGATGGAAGACATTACAGTCAGATTGAGAAAGGGCCAGATTACATACCCTGCTAAAGAGTTTGACAGATGGAAAGAGGAGAGAATGAAAGCAGATGAATGAGTCAGAAGACTACCAGAAATTTTATTAGAGATATTTGAAGGGGAACAATCTTAGCATAGACAGGGATGAGAGATTAAACGTTTTAAATTGTACTTGTTTCTCTCAGAGGAGTAGCTGGGTGGTGTAAATGGTTAAGCACTCAGCTATTAAACAAAAGGTTGGCACTTCACAGGTGCCTCGGAAGAATGGCTTGGTGATCTACTTTTGAAAAATCAGCCATTGAAAACCCTATGGCGCACAGTTCTACTCTGACACACAAGACAGATGGTAACTGGTTTGGTTTTTGGTTTTCTTTTCCTCAGGGAGCCAAGGCAGGCAGCCATTTAAGAGGCTACGGCGGCGGCAGCAGCCGGAGCAGCAGCAGCAGCATCAAGAATGGCAGCAGCTGAAGAATAACACAAGGGTAATGACAGATTTCTGTACTCTCCCCCGGGCTGCTCAGACGTGGGGTAGCCCAGTGGTGAGTTTTTTTTTTTTCCTTAGGACAGACCTCTATAGAACTTGCTGGTTCTGCCCATCTCCCTGCACCCACCCAAAATGGCAAATTGAAGGAACATCAATCTAATTGATCTAACGTTGGGGATGAGGGGCAAAACCATGATTCTCCTTTACTTCTGTCCATTCCTCACAGGACATTGAAGCACCAGAATGTACTTATGAGCGAGTGATGGGACAGCCAGAACCTTACGAGAAGCGTCAAGCCTGCGCGTCAGAAGAGAACAACTTGCATTACGCAGACATCCTGGTGTACAGCCAGACCCAACCACGCACTGTCGAGGAGGTGAAAAGCCTGCAGTTAGAAAATGCCACAGAGTATGCAACCCTTCGTTTTCCCCAGCCCAACCCTCCTTTTCTTAACAACAAGCTCAATAATGGGAAGCTGGTGTGAGCCTGGGGGTGGGAAAGAGTCAGTTTCCACTTCCCTGCGACCCCTGTGGGGGAAATCTGTCGCTTTGAGATTTGACCATATTTTTGTAAAACCCCAGAGCCCCTGGAAATGTGAGGGTCTCCAGTTATACCGTTTTATTTGTTGCCATTAGCTTGGAGTTGCATTTGGATTAACTAGGGACAGCAGAGTTCCACAGAATGAGGTGGCCAGATTGAGTGAGCAGTAAGATAAACCTTTGACCTCTGTCTTTGCGCCTACCGATTATCCCATAACCACTTGGGCTGATCTTGTTGGACTGTATTTAATGGCATCTTCTTTGTACACTTCACACTTCAAAGTTGAAGAAGTAACGGGAAAAGCATACTGAGCTTTTCTCAGTCTCAGGGTTAGTTTGGTCTTATTCCTCGTTTGTGAGTCAAGGCTCCCAGACCCAACCAGGCAAATGTGGACTGGGGCTGAGGCCTGAAAACACAATTCAAGATTCTCTGACCAACTATAAGGACTTCATGTCATTGGTACTGACATCGCATCACGGTGGGGCCCAGGATCTCCCGTTGGCTGGATTGTTGACTCTCAAGCTATTGGCATCAATAAATTGCTTAATTAATATGCCTGGTGCGTTTTCTGGGGTGAGAGATCTCCGTAAATGCTAGAAGGGTTCCACTCAGGCTAAAGGCGTTCACAATGTCAGCCATTAGAGAAGCCAGGATAGCCCACTGTACTGGCCACAATTGGAGGCCGAGCCACATTGAGATCCTGAGGCAGGAGGTGGATCCAGGCCAGCAGGGGCGGGGCACTGTCCAGTAAGGGCGGGATCACGACGGGCAGGGGCACCATCCTGGCCGGCAGGGGGCGGGTGAAGAACTGTCTGGAGCCGGCATGGGTCTAGCCCGGTAGGAGGCAGGCCAAGCCAGGGACGGCCTCTTTGTCACCATGGCAGCGGAATACAGCGGCGACTCCTGAGCCGGAGGAGACTGCGCTTACTAGGGCCAGGGATAGAGATGATGAACCAAACCCATCCTTAACTTAAGCGGTAGGTACCAAAGGTTGCGGGAAGTGGGAAGTAAAACCGTTTGAGCAACCAGAGCAGAACTGTGGACACGAGGAGGGGTCTAGGAATGGGTACAAGGAAGGAGAGTACAATTACCGAAGTTTCACTGTCCGAATCTGCTCTGAATTGATAGGTTCCTAGAGTACAGTTCCTGATTCAGACTTTAGAACTAGGAGACGAGTGATAACTCTTTTGCCTCGTTCAACCTATACACCATCCTCTCCAAACACCACTGCCCCTCTCAGGGACAATTTCCTTAAGATAGGTGAAGTACTGAAAATAGAATTGCAGCCTAGAAAGTTGGAAATAATATTATTTGTTTGTGAACGATTGTGAAAATTCAAAGCACGTAGTGTGCAGTTGAAAGTTGATAACAGCTCCATCATCGTTGTCATAGCAATTTTCTACACCTGTTCTCAGTACAGACAAAGCACAGGTAGATTTTGAAGAGGTGGGTTGGAGGACTGTCTCCACGGCTTATTGGTGGAATAATTTCCAAGCCTGTTTTCCATAACTTGGGCTAATACAATTAACCACCATCTCTGGAGTCCTGGTGTGGCACTGTGTGTTAATATGCTGGACTGCAAAGTCAGTTTGAACCACAAGGTTGGTGGTTGAAGCTCACCAGCCACTCCTCGGAAACCCTATACAGGGTAGCTATGGGTCAGATCCCACTCAACAGCACACAACAACAACAACAACAACAACCATCTTCAAGTGTTATTTAATGTGAGGGTCAGATAAGATAATGTACATGATAACATTTTTTGTAAATGGTAAAAACTTTGTAAAATTTTCTGTCTTAGAATATAAATGCTACCTTTCTGAGTTAAATATGAAGTCCTAAAGATGGAGAAAAGTATAATGCCAGAAATGGGTCTCCCAGTATTTCTCTTGATTGTTTTCTGAATATTTCCTATGGCTTTTGACTGTAAAGAGAAGGGAAATTGCATAGATAGAGAAGCATTTCTCTTTTATTACCACTAAAACCTAAGGGAGTAGATTTTAAAATACCACTTGAATAACCCTGTTGGGATGCTAATACTTTGGTCTGGATTTTTTGCTAACCAAGCCCCTATTTCTGATACTTTGATATGATTCCAGTTGTTAGGTTTGGGGAGAGGCCTGACTCCACTAGGATGGTTTAGCTCTTGGCATTTCTTTCCTGTGCTGTATTTTTGCACATTTCTTCCTCTTCCTATTTTAAGGTGGCTCTGATCCAGCTCTTCTAGGGACTCGGACGATGGGGACCCAGGTGGTTATGAGACTCTGTAACTCACTGCTGCCAGCAGAGCCCTCTGTAAGTCTCAGATGTACTATTGAGAAAAGTGTAAAGGCATTGGTATTTCAGTACAGTTCTTCATCAGAACTCAGATCCTGAAACAAAATTGTAATATATTTGCCTCCTTTTCTTGCTATTTGTTGTGAAAATTCTAGTTCTCTTGAGCCATCTTTTTTTTTTTTTTCTTTTTCTGGAATTGATCAAATCAGGCAAAAGTTGAAAAATTCTAGCCATTATTCAGAACATAGGCATTATAGAAAATATTTTGATAAAAATGTTTGCTTGTGGCACTGTAGGATAATGCACTGGTGGCCCAAGGTCAGTTTGAGCTGCAAGGTTGGCAGTTCAAACTCATCAGCTGCTCCTAGGAAACTGTACAGTGTTGCTATGAGTTGGCACCAACTCAATGGCATTTAACAACAACAAAATGGAAATAATGCATCTTAATTATAGAGCATTTAGGAAATATTGCAGACAATGATTAAAAAACAAAACAAAATTATACTTCCACCCAGAAGCAACTACTGTTAATATTTTTGAATATTTTAATTTGTTTCTATACATAAATTTTTATATATGAGATCATATTATGCGTATACTTTTCTACTTTTGCTTTTTTCACTTAACATTTGAGGTGACAAAATTGTATGCTTGGTAAAACATCATAATATTTGCAATTTTCTTAGTCATTTTTCTGTGTTGGACTTTTCAAGTTGTTCCCCCTTTCCCACTATAAACAACTTATTTATTTCCTCATTTAAGAGGTTTTTTTCTTAGGGTATTTTTCCAGAAGTAGAATCCCTAGGTCATGTTCCCTTGTGAACACACAACAATAAGTTATCTTTAAAAAAGAAGAATGGCATGATATCAGATTTTGTGTACATTCTTCAGAAAGCAGCTGGCTGGCAGCTAGGAGATAGAAATGTTCCTGTTAGAATTCTGGCTATCTGTTGCCATGAGAACCTGGGCCCTTCAGAAGGGTGATTTCACATTATTATCCTTAGTATTGTGGAACCCTGAGACAAATGCTTAAATAGTTAAACCTCTATTACTTGACAAAAACTTGTTGGTTGGAACCCATCCAGAGGCACCTGGGAAGACAGGGCCTAGTGATCCGTTCCCCAAAAGGTCTCAGTTTTGAAAACGCTATGGAGTGGTTCAACTCTACACACATGATATCATCATGAGTCGGAATCAACTTGTAGCGCTGTGGGATAAAGCACTGGACCACAAGGTTGGTTTGAACCATGAGGCCGGAAGTTCTAACTAACCAGCTGCTCCCTGGAAATCCTTTACAGGGTCACTATGAGTTGGAACCAATTCCACGCACTTAACAACAACACAACAGCACATTATCATTGCCAGTCTAGAGACATGCAGCCATTTATGGCGTTTTCATAGTAGAGAACTGCAATGGTCAGTTTCAAGATATCCACCAGATGTCGCTAGCTGGCAGATAACGTTTGAAATAAAATTCACGTATAACATAATTACGTATCTGCTTTGTATGGTTTATATGACTCACTGGCATCCTACTCCAGTCTCTCACTATTCTGTCTCTTTTTTTCTTCTCCTACCCATTCAGCCTGTCACACTTACCCCACGCACACTGTCCCTACGTACTAATACTAGATTCTCAGCATTGCTCGTCTTTCTTCCAGCCTTGTTTCTTGCCTTATGTGTATGTGTGTGTGTGCACTTATGTAAACCTATCAGTTCTTGAAGTTTTTACCAAAAGAATAGGGCCTACCGATAACGGCATATAATTGGCACTCAACACATGTGTAATGAGTATTTAATTAAAGACTGCGTGGATGAAGGAGAGGAAAATACAGAATGGTAGCAAGAATTATTTATATTTGATTTGAGACTACAATAAAAGAGACAAAGATTCATATTTTCAAATTAATAACAATTACTTTATAAGTGATATGGTCTACAACTCATCTGTCAGCTTGTCATCCTGTGGTGGCTTATGTGTTGCTAAGATGATGAAATTTATGCCACTAGTATTTTAAATGCCAATATGGTCAACTTCCAGACTACGACAGCTTAGAAAGGAGAGGCAGATTACTTCTGAATGCCACTGAAAACCTTATGAACATTGCCAGATAGCACCAGAATGTTGAATATTGAAATATGATGAAGAGCACCAGAATGTTGTCAGATACAGTGCTGGAAGATGAATCTATACAACTGGGGAACAGCTACCTTCTCAAAGTAGAGTTGATGGTGATGCTGCAAATACAGTACAGCTTTGGGGACCTGCCTTTGCTGATGGGGCATAACTCAAAATGAAGAAAAACAGCTGTAAACATTCATTAATCATTGGAGCATGGAATCTATGAGGTATGAATCTAGGAAAATTAGAAATCATCAAAAATGAAATGGAACGCATAAACATCGATATCCTAGGCATTAGTGCACTAAAATGGACTGAGATCGGCCATTTTGAATCAGAAAATCATATAGATTTCTATGCTGTAAATGATACATTTAAGAGGAATGGTGTCACATTCATCATCAAAAAGAACATTTCAAGATTTATCTCGAAGTATAATGCTGTTTGTGATAGGATAATATCCATACGCCTACAAGAAAGACCTGGAGTCCTGATGTGGTGATGTGGGATAAAGCAGTGAATGGCAAGGTTGGTTTGAACCACAA